GTTCTACCACTGAGCTACAACCCCAGCCCCTCAATGTAGTTTTGATCTGAATTTCCCTGATTGCCAGAGATGTTGAATATATTTCGTTTGTATGTCTTCTTTTGAGAAGTGTCTGTTTAGTTTTATTGCTATTTATTAATTGGCCTATTTATTATCTGGTGTTAAGTTTTTTGAGTTCTTTATATATTCTGGATATTAATGCCCTGTCTGGCAGAGATCTCACATTATGTATGTAGGCTCTCACTTTACACTCTTAATTGTTTCCTTTGCTGTGAAGAACCTTTTTAATTTGATGCCATCACACTTAGTAATATTGGGTGTTATTTCTTGCTGTTCAAGAGTCTTATTAAGGGGGCTGGGGTTGTGGCTCAGTGGTGGAGCATTGATCTAGCATGTGCAAGGTACTACGTTCTATCCTCAGCACCACATTAAAAAAAAACAAATTAAAAAGAGTTTTATTAAGGATGTTGGTGCATATGCTAATACCTTGGGGTGTTGATCTTATATTTTATTATACCTGTAGAAAAATTCTGTTCTAATTCCTAGGTCTTTGATCCACTTTTAGTTGACTTTTGTGAGGGTGAGAGATATGGGTTGAGTTTCTTTTTTCTACATATTGATAGCTAGTTTTCCTGGCACCGTTTGTTTCAAAATCTTTCACCCAATGTATATTTCTAGTACTGTTGTCACGTATCAAAAAGTGTCTAGGGGTATTTCTCCCTGTGTGCTCTATTATATTTAATTGACTTCATGTTTGTTTTGGTGCCAGTGCCATGCTGTTTTTATTACTATGGCTCTGTAGTACAAATTTAGGTATGGTATTGTAATGCCTCCAGAATTGCTCTTCTTGCATTGGCTATTCTGGGTCACTTAGTCTTCCAAATAAATTTTAGAACTCATTTTTCCAGTTCTGTAATGAATGTCATTGATATAAATATTTTTAATTTTTAATATTTATTTTTAATTGTAGTTGGACATATTATCTTTATTTCATTCTTATGTGGTGCTGAGGATCCAACCCAGGGCCTCACACATGCTAGGCGAGCACTCTACCACTGAGCCACAACCCCAGCCCCGCCATTGGTATTTTGATGAGGATTTCATTTAATCTATACAGCCCTATTAGTAGTATGGCCATTTTTTACAATATTAATTCTGCCTATCAAAGAACATAGGGGTATCTTTTCATCTTTTAAGACCTTATGCAATTTTCTTCTAGTGTGTTCTGGAGTTTTCACTGTAGAAATATTTCACCTCCTTGGTTAGAATTATTCCCAAGGTGTTTTTTATTTGGTTGGTAGGTTGGGTTTTTTAATTTGAGATTATTGTGAATGGGATAGTTTTCTTGATTTTTTTCTCAACAGATTCATTGTTGGAATATAGAAAAATTGATTTATGAATGCTGATCTTGTACACTGTTACTTTGATCAAATTTTTACCACCTCTAGAAGTCTTCTGGTTGAGTTTTTGGCTCTTCTAAATATGCTATCATGTCACCAGGAAAGATAATTCTACCTCTTATGCCTATTTTAATTAATTTTATTTTCTTGGTTCATTGTTTTGGGTAAAGTTTCAAGAACGAAATTGAATTAGAGGGGTGAAAAGGAATATCATTTTTTGTTCCCAATTTTAGAAGAAATGCTTTTAATTTTTCTTTATTCACTGTGTTGTTGACCTTGGGTTTGTCATATATACCCTCTGCATTGTTGAAATAAGTTTCTTCTATCTCTAGTTTCCCCAGTCTTTTAAACATAAATGGATGCTGAAATTTGTAGAATACTTTTTTTGCATATATTGAGATAATCATGAAATTCTGATCCTTAACTTTATTTATTTGTCCATCAGGAATGTTATTCTGATAATGTCTGTCTTTGACGTGTCTTTGGTTTTGGTATCAGGGAGATACTGGCTTCATAGAGTGAATTTGGCAGCTTTCCCTCCCTTTATATTTCATGGAATAATTTGAGGGGTATTGCCATTTGTTCTTTTTAAAGATTTGATAGAACTCCTACTGATCTTTGGCATTTCTTTATTGAAAGGCTTTCAATTGCTGCCTCAATTTCATTTCTTCATATTGGCCTATTTCCGTTTTCTTTATCCTTATGGCTCAACTTTGTAGGTCATTTGCATCCAGAAATTTGTCAATATCTTCTACTTTATTGGAATATAAATTTTCACAATAGTTTCTAAACATCCTCTGGACTTAATGAGTGTCTGTGGTGATATTTCCTTTTTCTTCACATTTTTTTTTAATTTTGGTTAGTTTAGCTAAGGATGTATCAATGTTGTTTATCTTTTCAAAGAACCAACACTTTGTTTTATTGATCCTTTGTATAATTTTCCATTGCAATTTTATTTATTTAGGCTCTGATGTTAATTATTTTCTTCTTCTACTGATTGTGGAATATTTGAATTTTTCTGGTATCTTGAGGTATAACATTAGATTATTAATTTGTGATCTTTCCATTTTTTATTGTAGGAACTCAGTGAAATAAACTTTCCTCTTAGAACTGCCTTTATAAAGTCCCAGATGTTTTAACATGTTAAGTCACACTTCTAAGTTTTTAATGTCCCCTGATTTTTTCTGTGATCCATTCTTTATTTAAAATTGTATTATTTAATATCCAGGTTTAAAATTGTTTCTGATTTTATCTTGTCATTATATCTAATTTCATTCCACTGTGATCAAACAGATTTCAAAGATTTATATCTATCCTTTTTGTATTTTTTAAGACTTGTTTTGTGCCATAAAATATGATCTACTTTAGAGAAAAACTGATATGCTCCTGAGAAGAAAGTGAATTTAGTTGTTGATGTATGAAATATTCTATAAATGTCTTTTAGGTCCATTTGTATAATAGTGTTGTTTAGCTCTGAAGAGTCTTGATTTATGTTTCCATTACCTAATGGTGAGACAGGTGTGTTGAGATCACAGTGTTATTGTATTTTTTGTCTATTTGATTCCTCATATTGAGAAGGTTTTTCTTGTTGTTGCTGTTGTTATATATGTATGTACACCAATGCTTGGGATATAAATATTTGCAATATAACTTATTGGACGATTCCCTTAACCAGTATGAAGTGACCTTCTTTCTGTCTTCTGATTAATTTTGACTTGAGGTTCACTTTGTCTTATATGAGAGTAGCTACCCCTTCTTGATTTTGGTTTCCAAGTGCATTTCATATCTTTTCTTCATCCTTTTATTTTTCAGTCTATGTATATCTTTGCATGTAAGTTAGTCTATTATAAACAATATATGATTGAGTCTAGTTTTTAATACACTATGCCAGTTAATGTCTGTTGATTGAAGAGGTTAGACCATTTGCATTCAGTGTTATTATAGAGAAAATTTTATTTTTATTTTCTTTTAATTTATTTTAAATATTTATATCAAGCTTTATTCTTCTTTATTTGACTGTTCCTGTGTGATTTATTCTTATGCTGGTTTTCATTTTTAGTCTTTATATTGTTTGCATTAAATATTCCATTTTTGTAGTGAAATCTTGGTGGTTATGAATTCTTTTAGTTTTTGTTTATTATGGAATATTTTTATTTCATCTTCAATTCTGATGGGTAATTTTTTTGGATAAAGTAATCCTGCTTGACACCTATTTTCTTTTAGGGTTTGGTATATATTGTTCCAAGCCCTCCTGACTTTGAGTGTCTAGGTTGAGAATCAGTTGAAATCCTAATTGGTTTACCTCTAAATATAACCTGCCATTTTCTCCTGTTGCTTTTGAAATTATATCCTTATTCTGTGTTTTAGACATTTTCATCTTTCTTTGAAGGATTCCAGAATTGAACGAAGTTGAATAGTTTTCTCCAACTCTTCCCACCCCTCATAGAGGGGTGATGTGGTCAAAGTGAAACAATTTTTCTTGCCCTCTAATGTGGCTTTTCTTAGTTATGTTGTCCAAACAGGTTTCTCAGCCTCTTTTAACTTCAGATATATTAACAAATATTCTTATCCATGAACACTTGCTGCATGCGTTTTCTTGAGAAGCACTGAAGCTGGAGAATTCTATTCTTCCATCTTGTGAAATTACCCTTTCTACTGTTCTTGCAATTTTTGATACAGGTTCCAAGACAATTCAATGAAAAAATAATAATCTTAAACCAAAATGATACTGGGAAAACTAGATATTCAGATGCTAAGAATAAAGTTGGACCCCTACCTCAAAGCATATGCAAAACCTTATTTAAACTGAATCAGATGCCCAAATGTAAAGGGTAAAACTTTAAAATATTTAGAAAAATACATGAGTTAATCTTTTATCCGTGAGTTAGTGAGAGCTAGGAATAACCAAAATAGGAAATCAATAGAGATAAAAAACAGATTAGTGCTTGCTAAGAGTTCGGGTAGTACAGAAATGGTAATTAGTAAGAAGTTATTTTGGGGATGAATATCTTAGGATATGGTAATGATTGCATCACACTCTAAGTTTTTTTGACAATTATTGAGTTCTATATTTGAAAGTGAAATCTTAGTTTATGTAAATTATTCTGCAGTATAGATTCATAATACAAATGACTAATGCAAATTGATATTACAAAACGTTCACAAATGAATGGAAAATCTGAGAATACATTATTATCTGAGAAAACATTAGCTTACCCTAGCATTTACTCTAATTTTTTTGAAAATACCAGAGAGTACAATTTAGAAATAGTATACCGAGAAGACACTTGTGCTCTCATTCACATTTTATTTATGAGTTCAGTTATGAGACAACATTTTACTAACAAAGTAACTTTGAACATGTTATCCTACTTCTCTCTTCAGTCATCTTATCAGTAAATAAGGTTAATATTGCTCCTATCATGAGTTTGCTGTGATACTTCATTAATTTACTACGCATAAACTCACTACATGTGTCATCAGCAGATGGCAACCCAAATTATGCAATAGCTATTATTCTCATTATTGACCAAATGAAGGGTGAAATAAGTTTTCTAAAACAAGTTGACTACTCAAGTTTTCCCTGTTTGTTTTCTTTAGGTGTCTTCAATGCCCTTGGTTTGCCTGTGACTCAGTGTCCACTGGGGTTGAATGCCAAAGGACTTCCTGTAGGCATCCAGGTTGTGGCTGGACCCTTTAATGATCATCTTACCCTGGCTGTGGCTCAGTACTTGGAGAAAAGTTTTGGTGGCTGGGTATGTCCTGGAAAAGTTTAGCAGGACATTTTCCAAGGTCAGAGTGTCTGTGCACACGCACATGCACATGCACATATGTGCATGCATGCACATTTCTATTGGTTGCATGAAATCAAGCACCAGCAAGCATGTAGATTGAAAATATTTGGAGAATATTTTTCTTCAGTTATTCTTTCTAACTTTATTTCCTGAACTAACTTTTGTTTGCATTATAATGGTAATACTTGATTTCCACTTTACTGGATAAAGTGTACATGTAAATGAATAAGTGCAATAAAGTTTAAAAGATGATGTATTGGTGTCTAATTTGTGTGCATTGTGGAAATCAAAGAAAGGAATTGATTCTAATGAAAGTATCTTATGAATCTTCATGGAGGAGATGGTGCTTAAGCTGGGAAGTGAATGACAGTTATGTGATTTCCACGAAGGCTGTGGATTAAAGGAATTATAGTTGGAAGGAACTATAATAAAAATGGCAGAGCATTAGATTTTCCTGAGTGTTTGTGCATCATAAGTTGGTTAAGACTGGTTTGGAAGCAAAAAAGATTATAGAAGCAATTAAACAAACAAACAAAAAAGAACCTCCAAAGTCACTGAAAAAAATTCTGATTTTGTCCCTAAGAAGGTCTAGAATCAATTGCACCTCAGTAAAAATAATCATGGAACATAGATTTTTGTTTCAAATACATTTTCCCATAAAATAAAACAGCTCTTCTTGGAAAGAAAGTTGTTTCCAGGAATAAGACGGTGAAACTATAAGAAGGATCAGTGAACTTGAAGACAGGCTATTTAAAAATGTATGGAGGAGAAAAAAGAAGGAAATACATATGAATGAGCCTATGAGATCTAGATACAGCATCGAGAGAGCAATATGCAAGCAATGGGCATTCAATCAAGAGTAGAGAATGATAAAGAAATAGAAAGTTTATTAAAGAAACAATAGCAGTAAAAATTCCAAACCTGAAGAAAGATATAAATACCCAGGTATAAAAAGGCCAAAGGCCAAGAATCAGATTCTACTTAAAATAACTCCACAATATATAATAATCAAACACTCAAAAACAAAGAGATGATCTTGAAAGAAGCAAGAGAATAAGAGCAATAAAATATAGGATATTCTTGAACAAAATGGCTGGCTAGCAGTGCCTGGCATGCTTCCTTCCACAACAAAGGACAAAACAAGGGAAACAAATAACAATTTCACCACAGTGTTTGAGAATCAGAATACAACGGTATGTGGCAGAGATGTTGCTGAGCACAGATATATGTAAAATCAATTATAAACCAAGTATTAATTCACCAGTGGGGAAAGGAGAAATATGAGACCCCAAGGAGTCACCACTTCTATCCCAGATAACAAATTCACTTACTATTGGAAAACTGTGATCTTCACAGTCCTTGAGCCCATTTTTTGGAACTTCTGGGCTACAACACTGCAACATGCCCCCTGCAAAAAGCCTCACCTATGTTTTGCCCCATCTCAACAGGCTTTAGATGCATGGACCCATCTTGATAACCCAGCCTACCTGGGAAATTGTGATTAGGTGGACAGCTACTCCCAGCAACTCCACTGACCCTGCCATAAAAATAAAAAAGAGACCTCATCCACTGTTTAGATTTCTGTAACTAAAGTTTAAAAACCTGAAAAAAAAAAAACAACATAGAGAAAGCTAAGTCTATTTTTTGCCCATGATTTCAGAGGTCTCAGTCCATAGATAGACAATTCCAATACTCTGAACCTTAGGTTAGGCAGAACATCATGGCAGAAGGACAGCAGCTCAGCACCTGACAATAAGGAAGCAGAGAGAGATCTCGTCACCAGGGACAAATTATAAACACTGAAGTATATGGTTACCTATCTGTCCTCCAGCCCCACCCTAAACTCCTCCCATTACCTGGCTCTGTCTACAAAGAGGGCCCACCAAAAGTAACTAGCTCCTCCCATGACCTGGCTCTGCTAAACCCTACAAAACCCAGAACCTCATGATGACCCACCACCATTTTCCTTCTGAAGATGTGCCCCTCTGGTGCTGAATAAAGCATTGCTGGTCCATGAAGTCAGCTTCTATTTTCTTTTTCTTCTTATATTATCTTTCATATGCTTTCATTTGGTTGCCTGACCAGTTTCTGGGGTTCTTTAGACCCATTCCCATTCTAACAAACCTCCAGTTTTTCTCTCTCTCCATGAGACCTCCAAATCAGAAGCCACTTTGGCCCTTTTTTCCCTAATGTTACACTGGCTTCTCATTCCTCTGAGAGGTAGGATTCTTTCCAGTCTCTTGCAGAGGTGCACTGCTCAAGATCCTTTCCCTTAGGCTTCTCCAGCCCCTGGGGCCCCCCACTATTGAGATTGCAGAGAAGATGTTCTCTAATTCTCCAATGGAACTGTCCAGTGACAGAAGGCATCAGGGGACACCCTGATATCCACTACAATCTTGGTTAAATGTCTTCAACATGGGAACTACCCAGTCCATTCCACCAGACTGTCCCTTAGGTTGCCTCATTGCTCATCCAAAACCCAGGGTTTCTTCAGCAACCTAGCTGTGATCTAAATAAGGCCCCCAAATCAATGGCCCAAATTCAGAATTCAGGACCTTTAACCCACAAATCCTCCAATATTTGAACAATTTCCTCTAATGAAATATCAAACAACCTGAGGCTTTCTACTATAGTGGCATCCCCTCTTACACAGAAAGTCTTAACTAAGTCTCTCCAGAAATCTTCACCATAATTGATTTTAGGACTATCAGCAAGAGTCTCTACAAAAGAGTTCAGTGTAGGTAAACTTCCTATTTTCCTATTGCTTTATTTTACTTGACCACTGGCCTGGAAGAAATCAGCACTCCTAGTGCAGAATGCCCCTTTACTAGTTTTTCACAAACATTTATCGGTAGAAGTGTGTTTGCAAATGCAAAATGTGTCTAATAAAAGACAAATACTTTAACAATGCCAGCCTCTGCACTGAGCTGGAGCTTCACAGAGATGTCTACATTTCTAGGATAAGAGCAGTCACCAATTGGGCTCCATGGTAACAGCTGGCAGGGGGAGGAAATACAGGGGAGAAGAAGCTCTCCCCTTCTCAAGTATTGTCCTTGAAGGGTTAACTTGCCCAGTACAGTGAAAGAAAAAGGTGCTTTTATGTGAATTTCTGCAGACTGAACTTCTGAGCCCTCCCCTTACATGCTGGGTATAAAGTTCTGAAACTACGTGACCTTGGGGTTCAGGGGATTAATTGATTACAGCAAAAGCTGTGTCCTATGAACCTGGCTGAAGCCAAATAAAACTGTTGCCTGCTATCTTTCATGCCTTGCCTCATCTGTCCCCTACAATACTACCTCCAAGCTTTTTTGGTTTGTTTGTTTTACGCCCCCCCCCCAAAGTTCTCATTGTGGTAGCTTTGCTCTACAATTAATTCTCACCGACACCCCACTCCATAAGCCCCGTAGATCAAGTCCTGACCCCCATCCCTATTCTTCATTTACTACCCTCAAAATAGCAGTGCACCATGACTGGGATTGCAGCTCAGTGGCAGAGCGCTTGCCTCACATATGTGAGGCACTGGGTTCAATCCTCAGCACCACATAAAAATAAATAAAAAATAAAGGTATTGTTTCCATCTACAGCTAAAAATAAATAAATGAATGAATGAATGAATGAATAAATAAATTTTTAAAAATGGCAGTGCACCAAATAAGCTCTTGCCCACAGTTTACTTGTGTGCATCAGTGCTGCCTACAGTGAGGTCTATGTGTTGGAGAGAGTGCAAGTCCATGTTCAGGTAACTGCACACCCTTGGTAGTGGTCCACATGGACCAGTCCCACTTCCTTGCTCCCTCTTGCCATCCTCCTGAGAAGCCCCTAGTTGCCGCTGCTTCCGCATGGCCCAGGCTACTCTGATGTTCACCATTACTTGCACCTGCACCCACCCCACTAGGATGGGGCTCTTGCCATGGGAGGAAGTGCATGCGTGGGACCACACTCTGGGGATGTGTGCCTGGCAGCAACCTGTGGGGCACCACAATGTCATCTGCCATCACGTATCAAAACAGGTGGATTGGATTTACTATCACCCAGGTATTGGAAATGTCTGTCCTAACTTGCTTCAGTTTATTTTCCTGTGGGAGAAATTTTCTGGGTGGAACAGAGGAAGGCTTGAGACAAATGAAGGCAGCTGGCCAAGACCACCCCTGTTGCTACATGAAGGTCATATGTCCCAAATTTGACCTACATTCCTGATAACTTTGGTAACTAATATCCTTAAAGATTTACAATCCCAAATAAAGGCCTTGTCCTCATTGGCCTTGTTATGGGAACAACTTAGCTCTTGCACGTCCAAGTGAGAAATTAATGATTTCTATAATTGTCATGATATTCATTGGCAGGTTCGAGTGCTGCAAAATTTATTTTATATTAATCTCATTCCAGTACTCATGTTTTTTTGTTTCCCTCATTGGAACACCCATCCCCCAGATGACTTTAAAACCTGTTCTTTCTGAACTACATTTTTCCACAGACCTCTCAACTGACCCAAGACATTCCTAAGAGGGAAACCTAAACTGCTTGCCCCCACATCACCCCCTCACAACTTGAAACAGCCAGAGTGATCATCCTCCATTTTCCTCTAACAGCAGTTAAAATTATGTTTTCAGAGGGAGGAATGAGTCAATGGAACAAAAAGACAGTGTGGGTGATAAATGATTGGGTCAGAAATATGGGGGCTAACTCAGGAGGAAATAAAATGTTAATCCACAGGACACTTGCCCCTCCTCCACCTGTTACCAAGATAATCTGTCTCCAGGGAATTGTTCCTTCCTAAAAGAAGTTGTTAATGAATGAATGTTCCCTAGGCCACTCCCTTTCTGCCTGTATCCCTTGATGGCTTTGATCCTGCCCTTGTATCAATTCACCTTTAGCCCAACTTTTTTCACTAGTCACATAAAGATGGGGGGAAGAGAGAGTAAGGATGGGAGGAGAAGAGTGCATGCTAAATGCTGACCTCCACATGCTTTCAATTTCAGGAA